CCCGCCGTAGGTGAAGGTGTCTACGGCGGCGAACAATGGTTTTCCGGCGAGGGATACGACGGTGACGAAGACGGCGATGAAGACAGCGTTGTTTGTCCGAAACATGTCGTTTTTAGCTCTGCTTTTTCGTTCTCTTCCTTTTATTTTTAAATTTCGGTGGCATGACTGAGAGAATATGAGGAGGAATATATACTGCAGAATCAGCTACGTCGCAAATGGTTTATCGTAGTAGTGCGTCATATAATTACGGGAATCTTATACAAATATTTATTTAGAAAGGTAAATATTAGAAGTTAATATTATACTGAAATATAATCAAATTTATATTAGAAACATTGATGTATAATAATTAAATAAACACAGTTTCAGAAAAAAAAAAAAGCCAAAGACTCCACGTATTCAAAAGTTATATCAAATTCCTTTTGGGTTTTTTTAATTGAATTTGATGTTATGTCTTTTTTGTGATTACATTCTGTAAGATGTATATTATGTAACTGTTGTCGTTGTTTTGTACCTGGTTGATAACATGGTAAGTTGTATTTTTTTTTTTTATATTCAAATTCCCATTGAACTCCGTCTCAAAATCGTATTACCACGATAAAGATATATATACGTCTCACAATCATTTTGGTGATATTTGTATTTAGATCTCAGAATGTAGTATTTCAAAATCATTGCTCTATGTTTCTTTCCTTTAATGGTTTATCTAAACCGTTTATATTAATTTTTTTTTTGCCTTGAAGTGATTACAACTGCACGGTGATTGCCAAAAAAAAAAAAAAAATCTGCAGGGTGATTGATCTTCTTGATCCTGAGTTTGGAGATTTGTTCAACTAATATAATACGAAATTCTCTTTAAAAACAGTTCTAATTATAACAGATGAGATGGTAAATATTCCTTTACTTTCATTTTTTTTCTATTTTATTGTATATTCATCTAATGACAAAAAATATTCATCGACTACCATAATTATTATTGTAATAAACGGAAGTCATTCTAATTTTGGATTAGATTTAACATCTAATTGATATTTAACAGATTTAACACCCTAGCCCACTAATGAAAGAAAAAACTTAAAAAAAATACCTCAATTTGTCAATTTTTTTAAACCCATAAACTTTGTTTTTTTTTTGTCAAATAATGATTTTTGAATTAAAAATAAAACTAAACTATATAACGGTTATCATTTTTAAACCCGAATGCAGATATGTCATACCAATATCCTATAGGGCAAATCCACACTTTAACTATACTTGACATATCATCATCTCGCATATACAATTTAATTTTTATGTCATTTTTATTAATAAAAATAAAATAAAAAACTGAAAAATAACATATATATATATATATATGCTTCTATATATACATACGCATAAATAAATATATACGTACATACACATATATACATACTTCTATCTATATATACTTATAAACATATATATATATATATATGTGTATAATTGTATATTTGTATATATATATGCATATATATATATGTATATATATGTGTATATATATATATAGTTTTTTGTTTTTGATTTTTTTAATTAAAATAAAATAAAAATTATGTTGTATATGTGAATAATAATGTGTTAAACATGGTCAAATGAATTTGTCATATCAAATATCGGTATGTTATATCAGTATTCGAATTTAAAAATGATAACCATTATAATATTTAGATTTTTTTTCAACTCACAAATCAAGTTAAAATTTTATAATATAAAAAATAAATTTTATTTAAAAAAAAATCAGATATTGTTAATGCACCCAACCGGAATCAGCCCATTAAACCCTAAGCCAATGGGCCCTGAAGCCCATCCGAAGTTCAAATCTTCGCGTTTTCACTTGCCGAGTTGAAACAGCTTTGTCTCGGCCTTGCGACCAGAAATTCGCAAACCCACCGTGGGGGTGGTGACTCTCTCTCTCGCACTCATCTCATCATCGTCAGTTCAAAATTTGAAAATCCTTTCGTTTTCTCTCGCCGATTCTCAATTTGCAAACCCTAGAGAGTTTCCCCTTTTCTCCGGAGATTCGTAAACCCTATAGTTCGTCGCAGGTACCTCTCTCGCGATTTTTCGTGCCGAGGCACTACAGACCACCGGTGAGAGTCTTTAATCTCTTCTCGTCCTATGTTTCGGGAGATTAGTAAACTGTTCGAAATCGGTGGCTGTTTGGTATCGGCTTGTCATTTTCTTGCACTTTCTTGCGAATTATTTCCTTTGATTTTGTCTCTACAATGTTTTCGTGCTTTGCTGCGAAGTATATGATCAGAACTCAAGCGCTCAAGGATCTTCAAGGCAATCTTAATCTGCTCTTTTCCTTTCGCTTTATGCTTCTGAAAATTCGGTGAATGTTAATGATCTATGCTTCTTTGAATCCGGTAAGATTCTTTCACTTTCAGGTTATATGTGATTGGATTTTGTTTCTGAATGGTTAGACATAGATGATACTGTCTCGTTCTTTTTCAATGGTGTTCTCTAATTTTGGCTTGACTGTATCTGTGCTCCTCTGCTTCTGCAATATAGTTAGTAGAGATGTAGTTATAACCTTTATATATACTATTGGTTGAACATCCATAGCTAACGGTCTGACAATCTGTGTTGAGTCTGTTCATGTTGCTGGATTTTGTAAGTATCCTACCTCTGTTGATGCACTTAGAGGCTTGTGATAGAGATATAAGCATATCTCGAGAATCTTTTTCAAATTTCAATTATGATTCGGTTGTTAATATTGTATTTCCTAATCTTCTCTAATCAAGTTGTATATAATCTCTTCTATAGCATTGTTAATAAACACAATATTTTTCCAAAACTTTATAGCTTGGACGGCTGTCTCACCATGGAAAAATTTGAGGTTAAATGCGTGCATAACTGTAGGGAGGTCGGAGTTGTATTCTTTGTATTTTATTCTAAAGGAAAGATAGCTATTATCTTCTGGTCCTGATTAGCTCCTGTTAGACTGATATCCATGAATTTGTGTCTTCTGGTTTATGAATTGGGTTGAGTCAGGAATGAATGACAAGCTTATATATCTCCCATTCATCACGGAAGGTGCTTGTGTCCGTTAAAGGCATATACTGTCAGGTGCTATTGCATGCCGATTATCTTTCAAAGTCATGATGGGACCAGCATCATAGGTACTTCTTAGTGATACTTTGCTAATTATTTTGATAGGCTGACATAGAAGGTCAAAAAATCACTTGGTTGACACTTCTTAGAGTTGCAACAAGTTATGACAAATGATGTCAACTTTTGTTTATGCAGGATAGATTTCTGCCATTGCTTTCTAATTGATTTATCTTTTGCTTTCGATATTGATGCAAACTCTGTTTGCCTTTGTTAACCTGAAGATTTGTCATTCTGTAAATGTAAATTATCCACCTATCTTTGATCCTCGGACCTCGATTGGAAGCTTTAGCATCAGGTATGATTTATAGCTCAGTGATCTATACTGAACCAGTCTACGTTGCAAATGGTCATTATGGATGAAAACAAGTGAGACAACTCTGAAAAGTTACAATAGAATTTATTTCAAGTTATGCAGTAACACTGTTGTTTATATTATCTCAATATAATTTGACTTGCTTTGGTCCCATTTCTGCTTTAAAATAACCAAAATTTTGCGGAATTTGTGTCCATGGTGAAGTTTCAATTACTGGAACTGTAAAATCTGTGATTGTAGGAATTGATTTTCGAGATCAGCGCAGTTGCTGCATTTGTTTTTGAATTATGTGATGGTTTAGGAAATCAGATATTGAGCGCCGGAGAGAGAAACTTGTAGAGTTCAGTGGATGGAGACTTGTGGTTCTGTGTCTGAAAAAGCAAACTCTTTCATTGACGGATAGTGTGGAAGTTTGTTCCTCTGACAGGATTGATTTTCTTGAATGTTCTCCATGTCATTTGGTAGAGCAAAATTATGATTCTTTTGAGTTTTTACAGATATTTGTTTATTATGTAATCTAAGACATAAATGTTGGACATGTTGGTTTGTTGAGGCTTCTGCTTTGCTTGTTGACATCTTCTCTCAATGGTTCGTTAAGCTGTTTCTGTAATTTTTGTTTATTTTTGTCCAAGTATGTAGGACTTAATTTTGCCTGGTGTTCACTGTTCATGTGATTTTCGTTTGTCTGAGATGTGGTATTCAGCTCTATCTCTGCATTCAGATGATTTTCAGTGCTTGAGATTGTCGTTCGTTAGGTTTTGGAATGCCTATTGATAGGTCTGTTTTGTGGTAGGGGCTCCTGGTTTGTTGAATTCAAATGGCATCTAGACGAAATGCACGATACACACAGCTTCCGGGTGATGAAGATGGACTTGCCAATTGTGGTGGAAGGAGAACTTTTGATCCCAGATTTGATTATATGCCAAAAGCGCTTAATAGAGTGCCATGGAAATCCATAGCACTAGCAGTGTTTCTTCTGCTCCTCGGTTGCTTGCTTCTCTTCCTTGCATTTTTCATCTTTACTGGTCACATGGAAGGAGACAGCTCGCAGGGTTATGCACTTCTTGTCCTTGGAGTCCTCACTTTCCTCCCTGGTATGTGTTAGAGATTTCGCTAGTTGTTTTCTTTTGGTATTTTCATCTTCTTTCTCTCGCTATTCATTATTAAATAATTATTATACTTGATTTTTTAGGTTAAGACTTTAAGGTTGGTTGTGTATCTTGAGATTGAAGGTGTTAAATCAATTAGCATAATAAACATTCTTTTTCCTACATTTATTTGTTACAGAAGTTCTTTTGTTTTTCTGTTTTGCGATACCAATCCCCTAGGATATCATTGTTTCGTGCATATTGGAATGCACAGAAATGTATATTTGTAGAATGTTGTGTATTTTGCAATTTAAATCTGGTGAGGTAAAGGAAATGTTGTTCACATGTGTTGGCCATTGGGAACATAAGGTGATTTCCTCCATTGGAAACCATTTTCCGACTGAGAGTTCTTAACTAGTGATTCAATCAAGCTCTAGTAGAAAAAGGGTGGTTTTTAAGACAAGTACTAAGAATTGGTTGAAGCTCTGAATCCGACTTTTTTTTTTCTTTTCAGTTTCTAGTTTCTATCTTTGTTGCTTGTTTTCTTCATGTGTTCATCTGAGAAGCTTTTTTTTTTTGGGGGTGCAGGCTTCTACGAAACCCGGATTGCTTACTATTCATGGAGGGGTGCCGAAGGCTATAATTTCGCTGCCATTCCAAGTTACTGAAAAACTCGAACACAGCCATGATATTTTCTTGTTTCCCACTTTTCCGGAGTTGGAGAATTCAAGAAAAATCTGTGCATAGAAAGTTGGTTTTGTTGTTTATAAGTGAGTAAGGAGGAATGTAGTTCAAGTTTGAAGACTAATCATCATCACCCAGATTCTCTTTTGTATACTTGAAGAATCTGAGTTCCAGCTTTGTTAGTTGTGATGGATTCTTTTTAGATCTCAAGATTGTGTGTGCTTGTGTGTTTGTCTCTGTGTGTTTTCTGTTGATCCAAATTTTGATTTTTGCACTCTTATTTTGTTACATGTGTTATGTGCAGTTAAATGCTCTTATATGTCTGTATGATATCTAAATGTTAAGTACCCGAATTTTGGATATTTAATGAATCAGATACACTCAAATTTAGGATATTGAATAAGTTTTCACCTTCACATAAATTATACGACTCCAGTGGTGCCGGATTCGTTCTCCCCTACTCTCGTGGGTTTTTACAGTTTTTATAGGGGTGGTTTATTGATGGTTAGGTTATATTCTAATTCGATTAGAAAAAACATTTACCATTTTAGTTTTATATTGAACTAGGTAAGATCCGCGCATGGCGCGAGAGTTATTCTTTTAATAATTATTTTAATTATAATATTTTGGTGATATAGATTTAGAATAAATATCATATTATTTTAATTAAAATATCATAAATATCATATATCGAGTTTGCGTTTATCATATGAAATGTAAGAGACGGGAGACTCGAGATATGGATGGATGGAAGAAGTATACACGAACGTTGGAGGAGTTGCCGATGAGTTTACGGAGGAAGATCTTTTTGTTGACGTAGAATATGTTGATGATGAGACAGAGAAACTTATTGATCGCTCTGCTTGGAATGCGAACCCTGATAGCTGCAATTTTCGTTGGCTTTTAATTTCAGCAGATCGAGGCAGCTGAAAAATGTTTATTAATTTCAGCTTACCCCATTACATTACTCATTTATTTTCATTTAATTATATTTTATGAGTTGTCCTATTGCCAAAGTAATAACCACTATGTATAGTGATACTTTTTTTCTTCCATGTAAATATATATTCTGATTCCAACCAAATTAATATCTAATTAATAATTCTTGTCTTTTCAATGCATATAACGGTAAAATATTTATTAATTTTATCACTAACTATTTTACAATAATAATTAGTGTACATAAAATAAAATAGTTATTAAAATCAGCATTAATCATATGACTTTTCAATTCACCTTATCATTTTTCGTTTAATTTATAATTAACATCATTTATAGATTTCTATAAATAGATTTGATTATTTTAATTCAAATTTATAGTTTTCAATAAATTATATATATTACTTATTTTAAATTCTATTCACTATTTTTTAATTTTTATATTTAACCTAAATTTACAAATATATATAACTCTAATATAAATTGTTTTTTATTTTAACACGATATTTTTTAAATATTTATTTATATATATAGGTTTTTAAATATTGTCAGTTTAATATTTTTCAAACTGTAATTGCATTAGATTTTTATATATTAAAGGTGAACATTTATCCCGTGTTATAATATGTTTAATCATTTGTAACATTATATGTGTCATCTAAATTTTTTTAAAACCTATTTTTCTCATATGCGAAAACAAAAATTAATATTAATTTAATCAAATTATAAATATCTATTGAAGATTTTAAATGATCAATGAATTAATCAACCAATAAAAATGGAGAAGGGCTTCTTCTACTTGTTGTTACGAAGCTTGTATTATATTGTCATTCACAAACTTCTTATCTTCTATTCTTTAGTGCATAGTGCAAAGAAAGTAAAACGAGAAAATATCGAAGATTTGTAACAATTATGTTTTATGTTTAGAACTTTTGTAAGGAAACAAAGAGAGAAAAGAGAGAGAAGTATTTAGAGAGAAATGCTTAGAAAAGCTTGATATGAAAAACTCCATACAACACCCCCTATTTATACTAAAACTCCAAACCTACTACTATCATCACAACCACACATCTTCATAACACCTCATCAATCAATCACACATACCATATCCTTATTTTCTTCAATCACACCTAACACACACACAAATTCAAACTTCTACAATTTCTTACATAAGCATTACATCATCATGATGTAATCGCTTACATAAGCATTACATAAACATGACGTAAGCGAATGAATCACCTTCTGAATACTCCTCCTTGATTCATTTGCGCGTCATCCCATGTTTCTTCTTCAAATCCTCAAATCTTGAAGCTCCTAGTGCCTTTGTGAAGATGTTCGCCAACTGCTCTTCTCCTTTAACGTATGTGAACTTGATGACTCCAGTGTGTCCCGCTTCTCTAACCACATGATACTTGATGTTGATGTGCTTTGTCCTCCGATGTTGAACCGGGTTTCTTCCAATGGCAATAGCTGAGCTATTGTCACAGAAGATCGGTGTGCTCCCTTCTTGCTTTCATCCCAAACTATCAAATAGATTCTGTAGCCATATGGTTTGGTTCACTGCAACTGCTGCTGAGATGTATTCTGCTTCCGCTGTTGATTGTGCGATCACTTCTTGTTTTTGTGTCTGCCATGAGAATATTGCTCCTTCTATCTTGAACACATAGCCACTTGTGCTTTTTATATTATCTTGACTGCCGGCCCAATCACTATCACAATATCCATGCAACAGTACAGTGTTCTAGGATTTGAAGTGTAAGTCAAGATCAATAGTTCCCTTGACATACCTCAATACCCTCTTTGCTTGCTTGAAATGTGTCATCTCCGGTTTGCTCATGAATCTTGAAAGGTAACTCGCAACATACATCAGATCCGGTCTTGTGGTCGTTAAATACAATAGACTTCCTACCATGCTTCGGTATTCTTTTGCATCTGCTTCTTTTTCCTCCTCCGTATCAATGTTCTTACCATTCGGCTCAAGTGTTGTGTTGACTGGTTTACAGTCAGACATCTTGAACTTCTCCAACAATTTCTTCGCATAGCTTCCTTGGGATAAGAAAACTCCATCTGTACTTTGCTTTATTTCCATGCCCAAGAAATACTCCATCTTGCCAAGGTCGATCATCTCACAGTGGTGCATCATTTCTTCTTTGAATCTTCCAATGTTCTCCTCACTATTTCCGGTAATGATCATGTCATCCACATATTGTGAGATGATCAGTATATCCTCTCTAAGCCTTTTGATGTATATTGCCGCCTCGTATGGACATCTCTCAAAGCCTTGTTTGAGAAAGTATCCATCGATTTTACTATACCACGCTCTTGCGGCTTGCTTCAAACCGTACAAAGCTTTTCTTAGCTTCAATACGTGATCTTCTTTGCCTTCTGCTTCAAATCCTTGAGGTTACTCCACAAATACTTTCTCCTCAAGTTCACCATTCAGAAATGTGGACTTCACATCCATGTGATGTTAATGTCCACCTCCTTTGTGCTGCAATCGCAAGTATGAGTCTGATGGTATCGTACCTTGACACAGGTGCAAACGTCTCTGAATAATCTTCACCATACTTCTGACTGAACCCTCTTGCAACTAACCTCGCCTTGTGCCTTTGTATGGATCCACACTTCACAGTGATAGCCTTCTTCTTCTCTAGTCTTTACACCAACTCCCAAGTATTATTCTTCCCAATCATGTTGATTTCTTCTTCCATTGCTTTTCTCCATTCTGGATAACTTTTAGCCTCTTCAAAGCTTGTTGGTTCTACAGAATACATGAAACATGCTTCCATCATGTCTGCAGAATAGTCCAATACTCTTGGAGCGACTTCAAGTATCTTCTGCATAGACATCGTCTTCGGATTTGTTGGTTCTGGTGAACTCCCTTCTGAAGTGTCTTCTCCAGTGTTGGTGGATGTAGAACCACTTGATTCTTCACTCGAACCCTTATAGAAGTCTGATATAGGAACTGCAATACCTTTTCCTTTCTCTAAGCTTTTGCTCCAATCCCATGTTTAACTTTCATCAAATATGACATCTCTTGCAACTGCAACTCTTTGCTTCTCCGGCAAGTAAACTCTGTAGCATTTGCTTTGACTACTGTACCCAATGAGTACGCCTTTCTCCGCTTTTTCTTCCAGCTTTGTTCGCCTTTCATCTGGTACATGAACATAACACAGACACCCAAACACTTTCAAGTGACTTAGTGAAGGTTTATGTCATGTTCATGCCTCAATAGGAGTTGTATTCTCCAATGCCACTGAAGGTAGTCTGTTTTGCAGGTATATTGCAGTGTATACTGCCTCTGCTCAGAAGTTGTTTTCCATTCCGGCTTCCTTTAGCATCGCTCGTGCCATCTCCATGACACTTCGGTTCTTCCTTTCACTTACTCCATTTTGTTGTGGAGAGTATGCCACCGTGAGTTGCTTTGAGATACCCTAACTTTCGCAGAATCTTGTAAACTCTTGCGATGTGTACTCTCCTCCTCGATCTGATATGAGTGTCTTGATTTTTTTTTCAGCTTGGTTCTCTACCATAGCCTTAAACTTCTTGAACACCCCAGATGTTTCTAACTTGTTTTTCAGAAAGTATACCCACGTCATTCTCGAATAATCATTGTTGAAGAATATGAAATACCTGCTTCCATCAAGCGAAGGTGTTTGCATTGGGCCATATATATCCGAGTGCACTAGTTCCAGCTTCTTCTGAGCTCTTGATAAAGATGATGGAAACACGAGTCTTGATTGTTTTCCTAATTGGCATGCATCACACACCTCATTGTAGTTGCTAAAATTAGGGATTCCCTTCGCCATATTCTTCTGTAATAACTTTTGCATGTATGAGTTACTACTATGCCCGAGCATTCGGTGCCACAGTTGAGCCATCGAATCTTCTTTAGCCATACAGGTAGACTCGTCTGGTCTCACAAGGCTGCATTGGAAAGCTCTTCCTCTGCATTTGTATTTCGGCAATTTTTCTTCTCATAGGATCACGAATCACACAATTACTTTCTTTGAAGTTGAGATCGTACCCGTTTAGGAGTATTTGAGGAACGTTGAGTAGGTTCTTGTCCAACTTCAGAACATAGAACACATCTTTGATAACTCTTGCACATTTCTTCGTGTTAACCACAATATCTCCTTTTCCTTCTATCAAGATTACGGCTCCATTCCCTACTCGGATAGGGATCTTGATATTTCGGTCTATCTTCTTGAAATACCGAATATCTTTGGACATGTGATTTGTGCATCCACTTTCGATTAGCCACATGTCTTCTCCTTGGGCGATCATATCTTCATCTCGCACCATAAATAGTTGTTCATTCATGCCTTCCGTTTGTATGACTTGAGCA